GGTGTTTGCGAAAGATTACGGAAAGGAAATTCCAGGGATCGTGCGAAATTTCATGACATTTAAAGACAATGGGAAAGTCCCATTGTATTCACTTTATATGTAGAGCGAAGGCATTCAGAATTAGCTCGAATAGTAGCACATGCCAGTATTAACTAGGGTTGCTTACAAGCAAGCCGATGTTGGGAGGAGTGCTTTTATAACCCGGTGGTCACAGATCACAAAGATTGCAAAACTGTAACAGAGGTAGAATGTCCAAAGATTGAACCAAGGATATTTCACATGCGTTTATTTTTCATGAATTCCTCTAATTCTTTCTTGCTTTCACTCTCACCAATGACATTGAGGTTTTTTGCGAATTGAAATAAAGCTTACTATTGCAGTCAGTGTGTTGTTACAATGGAATGCGTAGAAAAAATTATCAGGAAAGAGATGATCGATCCAGTAAATGGAAAACCATTGAAAGAGGACGATATCATTGAGTTACAACGAGGAGGAACTGGTAACTAATAATAATGTTTAATCATTAGAAATTGCACTTCGAATTCAAAGTTTTCGAGTTTTCTGCGCTTGATAACTTTGCCTTAGACCATCGGGCTGGGAGAATTGCCCTCGAAAACTTCTTTTCGAGAGTTTTTCACTGACCTTCATGGTTACAAAGTTATTTTGCTGTATTTCAATACCTAAATTTTCAGTCTGAAATCTTTTATGCCTCCTTTTTACGCCCTTTTTTTCCAAGGCTATTTAAGTGGTCGTTTTCTTTCTCACGGATTTCACTTCCACTGTTTGTCAGTAAGGAGAAAAACATGGTTTTTTTTAATTATTACTTTCTTAGTGGTGGCACCGATACTTATTTGGGTACTTGAGCAGCTGTTTGTCATCGACGATCGTCGTTGCACCATCGATACAGCTGGCAACTTCTCCACTCAACTCGTTGTTACGCTGTCCGAGACCCCAACTAGTACCGTAGCAGGCTTACCATGGGGTTTCTTCACCTCAGTGGTGAGCTCCCAATGATACTGTAATGCTGTAACCTACCATGGTACTGTAACCTACTGTAAATGGTACTGAAACCTACTGTAAATCACTGATTTGATGCAGTGGCTTTTATATCTTTTCCAATTATACGAGGATCTCCCGGTCTTTGGGATTCCGTACTTACTAGTGGTCTTACTGGTATAATTTCACTTTTCAGTCTTAGCTATGTTATGATACTCGGATATTTTTGTGCGTGTAGTTTTGTTAATTGGTGAGAATTTTGATTTAGGTTTTGCGTCAACCAATGAAGTAAAAGCGAAATTGATTCGACCGCAGCTTGAATTGCAGTGATGATACTTCCTGGTCATAGCTTCAGCGTTTACGAAGACTTTATATTCATTTAGAAGTTACTGGAATGCATACTGTTGTGCTTCTGTAGTTGCATTTACAGGAGCAGATTTATTAGCAAATTGTGTAATATCGTGGTTTTTGCGTAAATGTGAATTTTATTATCTCTTATTATTTGCCTCAGAATTATTACGGGCGATTTTCTTTCTTCAGTTCTTTCAACATTGACACTCTTTTATCTTTTTATCTTCAATCTTTGGAAGTGAAAGTGAGAGGAGTTAAGGAGATTTGTTTAAGTCAAAACTCGGCAATACACCTTATTGTAGTTACATTTCTGCCGTGGTTTTTATCAAACATTGAACAAGGAGTTGTGCTGCTTCAAGGACGATTTTTTAAAATTATTAATTTGGCGTTTTTTGGCAAATTTTGGCGTTTTTAATGGAAATTGTTTTTTCCTTTTTTTAGGTTTGAGTTGTTCGGGAGAAATAGCTAATTCCTTAGAAAAAAAATTTTTTTGTTAGGGTTAAAGATTTCAGAGGAAAAAAATTGCTTGTTTTCCCTTTTTTTTAGGTTTGATTTGTTCGGGAAAAACAGCTCTGGAAGCCTTGTTTTCTGATAGAGTTAAAAATTTTTGAAAAAAAAGGAGGGTTTTAAATTTTAAAAAATTTTCGAAATTTCTTTTTTTCGTGTTGAGAAAATGTTATTTTTTTTTTCGTGGCCATGCAAAAAACTTTAATAGCTTAAGAATAAAACTTTTTCAAAGTATGAGTCTTGTGTCTCATTATCGTGGTTCAAAAATGCCGTGCAAAATATTTCAGACGTAATATTTACATTGACCAGGTCCAGTTTTGGTGCTCAACAAGATTAGGTATGACTGTAAAAGTTTCTATTAAAAGTTTTGGAAGTTCCACTACGTCTGGGATCTGATTCTAATCTGGATCTGGAACCTATAAAACATATTGCAAAACATTATCTCCCATAGTAGCATATTCCATATGAAATATTAAACTTGAATCTTCCTATTCCATTTTCTTTATCTAGTACTGATCTGGGGTCTTAACCTATTGATAATCTGGATTCTTATGTTTGGTCTAAATTCGCCGTAGTATATTAGGTCGGCCCATGATCTTGGATTGGTTTCAACGCTTTACCGGGCACTCCCCTAACCTCCCGGGCTATTGCCAGTCTGGATCTGTGGCCAAAAGTTATGGTATTTGAACTGCTACTAGTCCGAATCTGGGCCATGACTTACTGTTACTTCTGATATTTTCAAGTTCTCAATCTTCTTTTGCAGATGGCGGATGTTGTGCAGAGCAACGATGGCTTCAAAAGACCGGCAATGCCTCTGTCTGTCATGGGTATATATGGTTTTTTTCCTAAAAAAATTATCTTTTTGGGCGTAACAAAAAGAGTTTGCCTGATATGAGGAAAAATATGAATTTTTGAACAAAAGTTCCAGGAACAAACTCGGATTTTTTGGCCTAATCATGGCATTTGCGACTTGAACTAAAATTTTGCTTCATCGTCATACTGACAAGGTCCTGTCGCGCGATGTTGAGAGTTACGGCGTATATGAATTAATGGACCGAAACGTCTTATCTCACTCTTATCTCCTTCTCTGATATTGTAATCGATCGCGCCTTTGCCATTTAGGTTTCCAAAGTCAACCTGGTTGCTACAATCGGCTTGTTAGATTTCATGTAGTTGCTCTCTATGAATATCAGTCGCTTTTTCCTGCGATTTGTTAGGGATTAGCTAAAGACATTGTAGCCGAAGCTGGAGATAATTTGAGTCTTAGGTGTCTTCAGTTTGTCTTGTAATAGATCAAATAATGATTAATGATTTTTTCTTAAAAGTGGGTTAAAGAACAACTGCGTTACTATGATGCAATATCCCTGTCCCTAGTTCAATCTTTAGCCACTCTACCCTCACTGAACTTTCGATCTTTGTCCCCTGGGGTATAAAAGCACTTCTCCCCATCGCCGGGATCGCCACTACCCGTCCCCACTGCGACCTATTTCTGTTTAACTTATACTCCTATTCTGGGAGCTTCGGCTCCCCAGAGCCTCACCACCTTTGTGTGCATTATCTCTTTAACTTACTATGTATTAATAAATATGTATGTAGGACGCGACGGTGTACACACACATGCACACTAGCATAACAAGTTAATAGTTAGGGTCGCGATAAGTTGCTCTCCTGCCTGTTCGTGGAAGAAATAATCGGTATTTAAAGTAGAACTTTTTTAATGGCCGGCATGATGCGGTAAACTGAAATACACTCTATGTTACTGGAAATCGAGTGATCCCTCACTCTGCCATTAAACCCGGAAATTCTCCAATTTTAGTGGACATACTATTTTAGTCGACAAATTTGAGGGCCTTATTTTTTGATAGAAATGATTTTTAGGTGCTAAACGAGCTCGTGTTGATGTTGTGCCAAGTGCGCGACCATACGTGCAGCAGCCTTCACGTACGTCAAACTTGTTGGCACCAATAATGCTGCTCAGTGGTCATAGCGGTGAAATTTATGCAGCAAAATTCAGTCCCGATGGAAAATGCTTGGCATCTGGTGGCTACGATATGTGTGTTTGTAAGTGGCGTTTTGGTGCATTTCCTAGACAATAACGAATAACTACTGGGTAATAAGTTCAAGTGTTGGTAAGTGGAATAATGTAGATTTGTGGTGTAAAAGAAAATTGAGAATAATATAAAAAGGCTGTCGGTTAGAAGACCTTCAGAAGTCCAGATGGCACTTCCAGTGCTTTCATTAATTATCAAAATTCGATTGTGTTCCTCTCCATCACGGTGCTGAGCCAGCAACGCCAAACAAACTGCATATATTAACGCATAGACGCGATTTCAGGCCACATCCTCTTCCAGTCTCTTAGCCAGGGATATTCATTGTTTGTATATTTAAAATTTCTACAACCCTTAAAGCAGCCCAGTTGGTAGCACATGCCAACAGCAGCGAGCTGTTGATAAATCTATATGTGGCTTACTCACTAGAGGTGATGGGAGGCACGCCAGCAGAAGTTAAGCATCAGAACGAAAATTTTACAATAAAATTTTGAAAAATGCGTTTTCCCATTAAACCATATGCCGTAGCGGCGCATTTTCATGCAGATTTTATGCGAATTTGTTTTTGATGGTCATTAAAAATTTTCAGTTCTGTGGAATGTCTATGGAGAATGCGAGAATTTTTCGACTTTAAAAGGACACACTGGTGCTATTATGGATGTTCATTTCAGTAGTGATGCAGGGTAAATTTTTTCAATGGATTTTTTCAACTTTTAATAATAAACTAAGCTGGAGATGGTACTTTTTGCAGAAAGTTTACTCCAGGAAGTTAAAGTTACATCTGCAACCACCACAAGGGATCTTTTCAAAAAATTTGTCCAACGAACAAAAAATATCTCGAGAATTTCAAACCCTGAAAAGTTTGAAAGATGTCACAAGGAAAGGAGAGAGGG